TTCAAATTGACAGATTGTTATCTAGTTATGGCTTTCTTTTTTAAGCCGCTTTTTAACATTTTTGTTTTCATCTGAAGCGGCATTCATGTCATGTCATAGTTTATAAATGGTACATTTGAAGACCTTAAGCTAGCTGTTAATCTTATGAACTCAAACTTAACTTTTTGAACTTGAAAATAATCGTAAGAATTTATAAAAATTTAGAGAACTTTTTATAAATTTCCATATTATCTACATTTCATATGGCTTTGACAACATATCTAATCAATCCATACCCAACTTCAGGCATTTGAGCACTAAAGTGACATGATTCCTGTGCTTTCCACACAAGTACATTCAAAAGGGGAATGAAGGTGCCCTAAATTTCAAGCTCCCAAACCCCAGTAATAAAAGCCTTTTCAAGATCATATTTTGTGCAGAGGGGCAGGCTGACCTACTCTTTACTGGGGAAAAAAACCCTAAAAAAACTTTTTTTTTCCAGCACATTATGGAAAAAAACATATCTTTAAATTTTTAACCCTAAACATCCCTTTCTAAAAATTGGAAATTTAATTTTTATCAGGTAGTATTTTCCGGTTTCAATTAAATTTTCCTTCTTTTTTTCCGTCCAGTTTGGGTGTTAGATTAAGCCCAATTTTTGCGGTGGGAACCCCAAGATCAGCTACAAAAGGGAGAACTTTAAACCTCCCCCAATATGATCTGAAATTATATAACATTTCCAATAAAAAAAATTTAACAATCCAAAAGGTTTTTTGCTTTTTTTGCCAAAAAATTTAAAGGACAAATAATTTACTTTATTTTAAATTTAGAAAATTTGTTAAAAAAGGCCCAAAACCTTTAAACTTTTTTACAGTACATTTTATCTACAAAAAAAGCTAAAATGCCAGCCTGAATTTAAATTCATAAAATTAATATCCACAATTTGCCAAACACATTTTTTAGGCTGTTGCCATTTCCGCCCAAGAAATTAAGATGCCATTGGTTTTATCTAAAACCTTTCAGCTGCTTTTTTGGACTTTTTTCATTTTTTCCAATCTAAATTTCCCTTTTGGACCTTAGCATTTTAACCTTAAACACTCCCAACCCTCATAATATTATACAAAAACACCAAAAAATTTTTGAAAATCAGTAATCTAAGTTGAATAAATTATGGGTAATAACAGAAAAATAGGTATGGTCAAATCAGTCATTTACCAAGAAGCGTACCTTGTAGCACTATTTCCTGGAAGTAGAAGGCATGTTTCTCAAGATAAGTTTCTACAGTAGATTTTGATGTTTATAGGTATACCATCTCTTAAATCATCCTACATCCACTGCTACCTACAATAAACAATCATATCAAAATGTTTCGCAATGTTTGACAATAAAGCAGAAGGTACATGAATATATAATGTTAATTACAGATACATTAATATATGAAAATCATAACCAGCATAAAACTTTTAAGGTATGATAACAGGCATCTCAAAAAATTGAGATTGGTGAAAGAAAATTACAATATTATGCATATAATGTGATAATGTCTTCTGCAAAAAATTACAATTTGAATTTTGAAAAAGAATACTTCCAAAATGCCTGTAAAGTGTATTGAAAAAAATATGCCTTAAAAGTATTTGGCGCATGCACAAAATCATTGCTTAATGATTAAAAACCCTACTAAGAACTAGCAGCATAATAATTTATTCCAGAATATTTTATTTCTGTTTACATTTCTTTTTCATGTTTGTTTAATAACACAGACATTCTATGTAAAAACTCTCTTGAGAATCGACCATAAGATTATGGAAACTATATAATTATACTGTTAATATATAAATTTATATTTGATAAAAATATTACATCAGATATATGCTTTATGCCTTTTAATGAATTAAAATACATTACTTACCTTGAGAAAGTATGGAAGAAAAGTTAGGTACAGTTGGTATACATAATTCAAATGAAGAGAATTTGAGTATATTAAGTTCCATGTTGAGGTATTGTCTAGCAGTATAAGGTTGACCGGTGTTGTACTGGGTCACAGGTATATAACTGTTCAGTTTATTATAGTGAGGTATCCTATCACAATGGTCCTCAAATTTTACTGAAAACATACAAGTATATATACAATTCATATTAGTTTATACAAATTTGTTTTAGTTTGATTTGTTTGTGTTGGAAACTATAAACTTAGTGAAACACTCTCAAATCTGTTCCTGGGGCCAACCAGTACTAAGCAATGAATGTAAAGTTCCATATCTAAGCTCATATAATATTATATATATATACAAAATTATTTTTCATATTTACAGCGATTTCTATCACAGAATGTGACAGATCATGGAAAAGAGAGCTCTAAAAATTTTTTTTTAGATTAATGACCATGTAATCACTGTTTGCACTTTGTGCGGGTTGATTTCTGAACCACCTTGTTTCAATTTAGCAAGTTTAACCAAGTTTAATATATATCCAATTTATATCCAGTTATATTTGATTTAATATGATTTAATATGAAAATAACTTCATCATTTATTCTTTTTTGTATTTATATATCCTTTAATTGCAAATTAAAAATGGCAGTTACTTACAGTAAGGTTTTAAATAATTGAAAACAATCATGATCATGTTACAACTGCGGTTACAAATTTTACCATGTGACATCACAACTTCTTGCGAATGAATTGTACTTCCATGATATACATGTATATGATTATTTTTTTACTAGTTTAGTAAAAAATAAATCACCATGAATAGAATACTCAGCATGAACAATGCAGTATTCCCACAAATAATAAATAATATCCAAAGACAAAGTGAAATAAAGGTTTACAAAGGATATATGACCATTCAAAATGTCAAAGAAGAAACCAGTACCTGCTATAAGTAAACAAGTTAGAGCCATCAAATGCATGTAACAAAGTTCAACTTCCAATCCATCCATGAAATAATCCAGTAAATAAACTGCTAAATGCTGAGCAGTTGCACATATTCCAATTTCACTGACTATAACAGCCAACCAGTCCACCAGGTGGCGCCGTATCCATAGTTGTGATGACTGTGCGTGAAACTGAGGTATTGTTTGTTCCTTGAGTTTTAATGTTGCATAAATATCCTCGGCTAGTTTGTTCTTCCACCACTCTTGCTCTATGGCCATCATGTGACCCATTCACTTAATCTGAAAATGTAATACAAAATGTTTGAATGATAAATCATGAAAGCCACTATATAAACTGGTGACAAAATCACTTTACCTAAATTAATCTTACTATTCAGGGCTAAGCAGTCAGGTGGCTCAGAGGCAGTCAGTAAGGGTTTGAGTCCAGTCCAGACTTTAACATGTTACTGATCCTGTGACACTTAATAAGACAAGATTGCATTTGAGAAAAATGCTATGCCACCGCATTAATACAACACTAAATAGTAGTGTAGGAACAGATTTTTTTTGTTTCTATACAATTTTGAAGATTGTCATAATGCATAGATCCCTGACCAATCTTATTCTTATTATCAGATTAGTGGTTAAATCTGTTGTTAACTCAATAAAAGATCAGAGTAGGAATATATCAATGCACTCGAGTCTAGTGAATTTGGTGGTGAAGGTCATATTTCACACAGCCTAAATTTCATGACTACATCAAAGGACAACACAGTAAGACACTTTGTCAAAATTTAGGTCAGCTGAAATCAAAGTTCACTTTACATCCTAATGATTTAATCTGTGCACATGGTTCAAATTTCATAGCTGTACATCAAAGGACAAGAAAGTACGTCACATCATCAAAATCTAGGTCACCTGATATCAAAGTTCAATTTTACAACTAAAACTGTGCACATGGTCAAAATTTCATTGCTGTACATCAAAGGACAAGAAAGTAGGTCACTGTCCCATTGGGCAAGGCAAAATTTTGGACCCAAGGGTTTAATTCAAAACAATCTTGATACAGTCCACCAAACAACATTTCAAGTCAAATATCTAAGCTGTAGCTTATGTACATAATGAAAATCAATGACACCCGGGGCAAAACCAATTATGACCCCAGGGCTATAATTTGAACAATCTGGGTAAAGGTTCACTTTGCAAAGTCTCATGCCATATATTTAACCTCTAGCCTTTGTCAATTCAGAAGAAGATTTTTCAATTCAGAGAAGAAGATTTTTCAAGTTTTTACTTTATACATATAAGGAAAACTATCGCCTCTGGGGCAGGGCAATCTTAACACTAGGGGCATAATTAAAACAACTTTAGTACAGGACCCATAGATGATATTATATACCAACTATCAAAGCTCTAAGCCTTGTTTCTTCAGACAAGAAGATTTTTTAATATATGTACATAGTGAAAATCAATGACCCCTGGGGGGTGGGGCCAATTTTGACCCCAGGGCTATAATTTGTACAATCTTGCTAGAGGTTCACTACATAATGTTTCATGCAAAATATCTTAACTCTAGTCTTTGTAAATTTAGAGAAGATGATTTTTTAAGTTTTTACTATATACATATAAGGAAAACCTATGGCCCCTTGGGCGGGGCTAATTTTGACACTAGAGGCAAAATTTGAACAACTTTGGTAGCGTACCTAAAGATGATATCATTTAACAAATATTAAAGCTCTAAGCCTTGTACCTTCAGACAATAAGATTTTTTGATTTTTTACTATATGTATATATTGAAAATCAATGACCCCCGGGGTGGGGCAATTTTGACCCCAGGGCTCTAATTTGAACAATCTTGCTAGAAGTTTACTTCACAATGTTTCATGCAAAATATCTAACCTCTAGCATTTGTTAATTGCTAGAAGAAATTTTTTTAAAGTTTTTACTATAAGTTTTTACTATATACATATAAGGAAAACCAATGACCCCGGGGCGGGCCGATTTTGACCCCAGGGCTATATTTGAACAATCTGGGTAGAGGTCTACCAGACAATGCCTTATGCAAAATATCTAAGCTCTAGGCCTTTTGGGTCTTTACAAGAAGGTATTTTAAGTTTTTACTTTATGTACATAAAGTGAAAATCAATGACCCCCGGGGCGGGGCCAATTTTGACCCCAGGGCTATAATTTGAACAATCTTGGTTAGGGTCTACCAGACAATGCCTTATGCAAAATATCTAAGCTTTAGGCCTTTTGGGTCTTTACAAGAAGGTATTTTAAGTTTTAACTATATCTACATATAGTGAAAATTAATGACCCCCGGGGCGGCGCAGATTTTGAACCCAGGGCTATAATTTGAACAATCTTGGTAGAGGTCTACCAGACAATGCCTTATGCAAAATATCTAAGCTCTAGGCCTTTTGGGTATTTCCAAGAAGATTTTTTAAATTTAGTCTTATAATTCCTTTCGGTTGCCATGGCAACCAGATTTCTGCATGGAATGAAATTCTTTGAACAACTTTGGAAGCCCTTCACCCAAGGATCAATCCTGCCAAGTTTGGTTGAAATTGGACTAGTGGTTTTTCACAAGAAGATTTTTTAAGTTCACTATATAATCTATATAACACACACACACACAAACAAACACACACACAGGTGAATCGCTATATGCCACCGCATCGCAGATGCTGCGGTGGCATAAAAATGAATGATAGATGATTAAATCTACCACCTCTTGCACTGTATTAGGGAATTAAGGCTATTTTTATCAAAAATTTATTTCAAGTACTATCTTTTATTCTTTTTATTTAAAATTAATTACAAATCTTCTTCAGAATTAAATGCTGAAAACATTTTATCTCACTCAAGGCCCCATAAATACTTAGATTATATATGAAGGCTTAAATGCCTTGAAATAAAAAATCAATTTTTACAAGTCTAATCACTCTTAAATCCTTCATTCCGTGAAACAGACCCTTATAATCAAGTTAACTAAAATCAAATTCACACCCTATATAATACATAAATTTTTATCTGCACTTAATATTTCCATTTTGACAAGTATATAGGAAAAGCATTGAAATCAAAAAATAACTCGCACAAAAAAGTATTAACCATATAATCCAGTGTTAGAAAATACAATAATATTATATTCCTTTGAAGTACCGAAAATATTTTGTTCAATAAGAAGCCAATTTAACTACGAGGGTCATTTCACATTGGTAATCAAATGTGCACTGGGCACTACTTTTACAATATTGTGTAATATTACACAAGCAGCTAGCTTGTTTACACAGATTGTTATCTATGACATATTCTACCAGAAAAATTATGCCCTAAAAGCATACAACTATTATAAGTGATTAGAAAACTTGACAATTCCCATTAATCAGAATGGTGTAAAACACACATGTGTATAATATATATACAGCCTGTCTTATGACTATCATGGGCAATAATAAACTACATTTCGCCATATGTTACAATATTAACGTTACTATATCAGTATGTTACAATATTATATTAAACGTTACTATATCAGTATGTCACTGACATGTCATAAAACTCAGGCCTCTTTCTTTTGTTTAAAGACAGCATGTTAGTGACATATTGCGCAAATAGTATATTTATCAATAAATTATGACTCTATACATTACTTAAATAATATATTATAGAGCAGTCAGTACACTTAAATTATACAGTAAATTTATACTCCAGTAGCTTTTTATTATATAAGATAATAAGATATTTCAGATTTAAAATTTCATATCTAAAATGATTAATTTCATGCACGTATTTTATTTATGTTTTAATGAAGGGGTCCATCTGTATGTTTAGGCACAACAAAAAGTAGCTGTCAACATGGACATGTCATCAGTCATGCCCTTAGGTTTAATTTGAAGCACAAAAATGGTGATAATTTACCTACATATAATTTCCACAGAGCCAAATATATTACTTCAAAAGTAGGTTGCTTATAAAAATGTTAAATGAGCACATATAAGTCAAACAAAACACAGGGAATCTATTTTCAACATTTTCAGGGCCAAAATTCCGCCCAGTTCCCCTTCCTAATTAACATTTATTTTATCTCTATATTTGAAAAATTCCAAGAAAAAAATAATATATTTTTATTACCAGCCTATAGCAAACAAGACCCTTAACAACATAATATTGAAATTTGCTTTTTTGCAAAAAAAAAAGAGTATGTAATACTTAACAATTACATAATGAGTATTTTTGTTGACAGACAAAATTTACTGTTTTCTTCTAAAACAACCCAAAATTCCCCTATCTAAGGGCCCAGGCCCTAGTCCCCTAACAGGTAATCAGAAATTTTAGAAATAACATCCAATTCCATCTAACCATATATAATAATTTAATATAAACACATCATATGTTCAAAATATATGAAATATAAAATTAATATCATTATCTGTTAATACCTTAATCTAGATTTCCAGTCTAGACACAGTGAACTTTAATAAAAGTACATTGTATAGCTTTATCACGCACCCGTGCCGATTTTGCGACTCCGTAAATATGGTATTGCACGGCCGTGCATATATTTTGACGTGACGTCATTAGCGTTATACAAACATGTTGTAAAGACGCGCTAAATGGCGTTATACTATAGGCGCGTCAATGAAAAATGACTCTTTTTTCACTTTAAATGGTCTTTATTTTGGGTATGCGATAAATAGAATATTAAATTCGTGTAAGTTCATTACTGAATTTATTGCACTCGTTGAATAAAATAATATTATGCGAGCCTCTGGCTCGCATAATATAATTTTATTCAACTTGTGCAATAAATTCAGTATTGAACTTACACTCATTCAATATCCTCTATATCTTAGAGAAAATTCTGTCTTCAAAGAGCACCAACAATATTAAAAGTCTATGAACCATTTAAGCATGTAGATTAAAATCATATCATAACAGGGAGATAGTGTACTTCAGGTACCAACTTTATATGTTAAGACTATTAAATAGATCCCTGATCAATGTCAAAATATTTCATAAAAAGATTATTACAATACACTTTTCAAGGCCCTTTATTCTTTTTTTAGCAAGGGCTGTTTAAGGCCGGCTTCCCCTAAACATTATCTTTTTATAATTAAAGTTTTCCGCTTACAATCAAGCAAAAAATTGGCTCTGAAGCTCACAAATTGTTTGAGAAGTTTTATCATTTCTGACAAGTCTATGGCCAATAATAAGGGTTTTAAATAAATATAATTATTGCTTTTGCTATAGGAAAAACATATCAGCATTTTCTTAGAAATTTATACACTAAAACAGTCCAAAACACATTTTTTTAAAAATATAAACAAATCTTAAACGAAAAGGATATAAGCATAATTACACAATTAGTCTTGGTCTTTTAAATACTTTAAGTATGTAATATGCATTATATAAAATGATATTTATTCATAAGTATGTAACATCATTTTACATATATAAACAGATTAAGAAAACACATAATTTTACTTTTATAAATTTTAAGTATGATTTTGTCTTAACATAAAAATAATAAAATTATATTTATGTTATTAACATTATTGTCTTTACCCTTAACAAACATGTTTCTCAGTTAAACATTTAAGATCCATTTATCATTTTAACTATCTAATTAATAACTATACAAGTTTTATATGATACAATTATTTGACCAGAAAATAAGTTCATATTACCTGTCCTGTAATGTATAAGAAGTTCTGACGAAAAAAAACTGTTGACCAGTTACTCTGTACAGTATGATATACAATTTTGTAATAGTCTTTTTTTTCTTAACATGTATACAAAATTATGACCAATATCTGCAATTTTACCCACTTATTGCATGCACCATTGACTTTACAGAGTTAAACCCACCCATAGCTTTTTCTTCTACAGTAAAAATATTATAACCAGATTATATATTAGATCTGATAAGGCTGGACACCCCATTGTTAATCACCATGTTTTCACAACACATGTCAAAAACTGTCAAATCACTTAATGGGTATTGCAAAAAGCTTATGAATTTTGGAGGAAATGTGGAGGTTTGTAGGCAACTAATGTCACCTTCAGGGGTTAATTAGTTGGTTAGGATAGACATTTACCTAAAACTACTCAAAATTGTTATTCACAGTATAATGTCAAACACAAAATTTTGTTCACACAAGTTATATCAGTTTTTACACATATGATTTCTTTTTATATAATTTCATTTGAGAGCAAATATTTGATAATGTGTCATGCTGAATAAATCTTTGTATGTGTAAAGTCAATTCTATATTAAGAAAATATGATATAATTATGACACAGAAAAATTAAATAAAGCAATTTCTTCAAAAATATTTCTACTGCAAAAAAGGGTTTTTGTTTTTAAGGTGGGGGGGGGGGGTGGAGGGGGAGGGAGCAAGTACACTGAACACTGCACATTAAATAGCTAAAATTACTCATTCAAGTTCTTATAAAAGTGAAAAATAACAGAAATATGAAACAGTACATTTGAACAGAAACATGTGACAGAATTTTGTCACAGAACCAGTTTTTTCAACAAATACTACAATACTACATGTACATATGTAAAGAAAGGAACATATTGCAGTCAGAAATGACAAGATCATAAAACCTTAAAAATATTTCAAACCTGTTAATATAGTCAAGATTATAATCTGAGGATATTTAAGTTTTTCTATTAATACAGGATTTATAGGAAAAAAAAACTGAATTTTTTGTTTATTAAATACATTTTTCTCTTCTTTGTTATATATATTACAATTTGAAAGACTTCCCCTAAAATTTTGTGTATTGCCTGAATTTAGAAGAAAGTAGTCGGCAAGACATCAGTGAAAATACGAAAAATATTTTTCACAGCAGTGAAAATAAATTTCTACAGTGAAAACACGCATTTTATTTCATAAATATTTCTCAAAATTTCATTTACAAGTATATTATAAATGTTTTTAATTTTACACAACAATCACTCTTTTTTTAGAATTTAGAATTTTTTTAATTTTTCAAATTAGAAGCCATTGGTCTTAGTACTGATGTTTTACAATGGTTTAGGTCATATTTGTCTGATAGGCAACAACTTGTTGATGTATCGAAGGGGTTACTTGTGGTGTTCCCCAAGGGTCTATCTGGGGACCATTATTATTTTTTATTTTATGTAAATGATATGCAGGCTGTTGTTAAAAATAAACTTCTTTATGCAGATGATTCTGCTATTCTTGTTGCAGGTAAAAATAGGTCATCTATTGAAAAAGAACTGACAGATGAACTACATTCTGTCAGTCAATGGTTAATTGACAATAAACTTTCCCTTCACTTAGGCAAAACAGAGACAATATTATTTGGTTCTAAACATAGGTTAAAAAGAGTTTCATCTCTTCATGTCAGTTGTAAAGGGACTGATATACAGTCAACTTCTAATGTCAAATATTTAGGTGCAACACTTGATCAGTCTCTCTCTGGTGAAGCAATGGCAAGTTCTATTATTAAAAAGGCCAATGCAAGGTTAAAGTTTCTGTATAGAAAACGTGATAATCTCACATTTCACACTAAAAAAACTTCTGGTTATGGCCCTCATCCAGTGTCATTTTGATTATGCATGTTGTTTCTGGTTTCCCGGGGTTACTACATACTGGAAGGATTAACTCCAAGTCACACAAAATAAATAAATAAGATGTGTTCTAAATCTTGGTTATAGGTCACATATTGATAATGAACACTTTAAAAATTTAAATTGGCTACCTGTCCAGAAAAGAGTCGATCAAATTATCCTCTGTAATGTTTTTAAAATAAAACATGGACTTGCCCCTGAATATATGGGAGAAAACTTTATTCCATTAGATTCTGTTTATACTTACAGGACAAGTGAAAGTGGGTGTTATATGCTACCTAAGGTAAAAAGTTTCAGATCAAAGTCTTTTGCTTACAATGGATGTGTATTGTGGAATAAACTACCCTCTTCTATTAGGATGGAATCAAAATTGTACAATTTTAAATTATCTGTTAAAAAACATTTACTTAATGGGTAATTATCTCTTTTAATGGTGTCTATCCTCTAGTCTTAATATTTATTATTTATATTTATTTATTTTAATTTGAACTTTTTTATGTATACTATTGTCTTTCTTCAATTTAAAAGTGTGATAAGTCATTTTCATGCCTCTCTTTGTCAAAACCATCAGTATCTAAGGACCACAATGGAAATAATTTCTTGTGTTATCCTTGGTATGATGTTTTTAATATGGTGCACTTCTTATACATTGATATTTGTTTTATCATGTATTGGATAAGTTTTACCATATTATTGCTGAATACTGAAATAAATCTACATGTATCTATCTACATGTATACTCTCTTTACAAGAATTTAGAAAACATAATCAGAAAGATGTGTATAATAAATACTGTCTTTATAGAAATTTAATACAGAGACATATAAAAAAAGCTAAGTCTGGATACATCTCACATCAATTACAAGAAAATAAATATAATCCAAAAAAATTGTGGTCTTAATTAAAAGATATTGGTTACAGTTAAAAAAAAACAAATCTTCACTAAATATTGTACTTAACATAGGTGATAAAAATTGTTTTGAACCAACAAAAATTGCTTGTCATTTTAATCAGTTTTTATTTGTTTGGGTTGTCAGACCAAACAAATAATGGTAGCGAAATTTCTGACTCTAATGCTGTTAATTGCAAATGCCGAAAGTAGTCCGCTTTTTTTGAAGCGGTTATTTCCCTTTATATGTAACACTTAGGCTGAAAAATTTAGGGGAGATCACTGCGTAAATATATTAACACATGACAGGCGGATTAATTTTCAAGCAAAACAATTCCCGAATAGTCGAAGATTTCTAATATTGTTTTATTCTTTATAGATATACATGCTTATAGTAAGCGCCATGATTATTTACACAAATGTTAAACAACAGTTAGCGTCGTTACAAACCCTAACTAGAATAATATGATTTTCTTCAGGCTGTAAAGATGTAAAAAAAACACCGTGGTCGAGGGGTTTGCACGCTCGTTTAGGAAGCGAGAGGTCTGGAGTCCAAATCCCAGTTACGGCAACACATTTTTTTCCACATTGTTTAAGTCAAATAAACATTGGATCAAGTATCAGTGTTGCAATTAGTCTTATAGCCAATCTACTACAATTAAAACACTGGAAAGCATTGGTGGCACTATACAAAAACAAATTGTTTTATAATCTCACAACCTTCACCTTTCTGACATTCTGAGACCCAAACAAATTCAGCGCCTTCTGTGCTTTGATTTACTACTGTTGCTTCTGTTTTGGTGGATAAATTGCCAAATCCATTTAACCTTTTTTCTGTAGAATCAGACATCTTTAAAGAATTCTATAAGAACAGAAATCCAGATGGAAATAAATTTCAATTACATACTGTTAGTGAAGAATATATATATAAAGAGCTTTGTAAATTAAATTGTTCTAAAAGCACAGGATTAGATGAAATTCCAGCAAAATTTCTTAAAGATGCTGCACCATTTTTAAAGATACATATTACCTTTTTTAGTGAATAATTCTATTACATCTAAATCAGTTCCAAATGAACTGAAATGTGCTAAAGTCAACCATTATTCAAAAAGAATAACAGATCTGATGTTTCCAACTATAGACCTTTCACTTAAACCTGCCAAATTTCTTTAATGGACTTGTCCATTCTCCCACTTTTAGAACTGTCCATTATCAATTTGGGTAAAAATTTGCAACTGTCAGTAAATAGTACAGAGCCTGGTCAGTCTACACAGTACACAGATGTGCAGGCTGCCCTGGCTTGAAGCAGCATGCTCCAGATGCATGCTAATTTTCCTGTGAAAATTTTGAAAATGTATTGAAAAGTAACCCAGCAAACACATGACATTAAAATAATGGCGGATTAATGTTAGATTTTGGTCACGACGTCGGCGACCAAAATATGACGTAAATCCGACGTTAAAAAACAGATGTGTATTAGACGTTTCTTTTTGATGTCGTACTAACGTCAGGTTCTGGTCGGTGTTCTGACGGTAGGTAAAAAATTAACAAAAAAATAATCCTTATTCGCTGTTGTGATCATTTAAACTTTTTTCAAATGTTATTTGGCTTACAAATGAAGTGTATATATATATATATATACAGACCAAGATCATGACGCTGCATCCTAATAAAACATAAAGGTGGCGCTGTATATAGGCAAGTTACATGTGTTATTGTTATGAAATCTATTTATAGCCACAGATCTGTTTATGAGTTCCAATCATTTAACGTTATAATATTATCATTTGTGGCACATTATATGTATCAAAATCACAAGTTTTTAATAGTGCTTTAACATTTAATCATAGTGACAGAAAAAGGAAAGAAAACATAATTAACATGTAATTCGAAACTACAGCCACGTGGATGGAAATTCAAATTCGTAGGCGTTACGTTTTGGCTGTCGGTCAGGAATCGGGATGCATTGATAAAGTGAATATTTTAGATTTTCTTGTACAAAAAGGTCAGTTCAATTTATTTAAATTTATTTCTACTTTGTATTTGATAAAAAAAATGCATGATTGCAAGCATTCTTAGATTTAATTATCATTATTTGAACATTTGAAGAAAAATGTCACACAATTTCGCGATAATGTCTGATAATAAATCTTTTCAAATTGTGAAGAGTTTATAATGTGCCTTTCAGTACTACCAAAGAAATTGCTTAATTTTCATATTTTTCTTAAACTGTGATGTTTTTGTCAGTTAAAATCTGAGAATTGAGAATGAATTTGAAACTTTAATTTGAAACTATGAAAAATTTAAGGCTTGCGTAACTGTTCTATTTCAAACGTAGAATATACATAATGTAGAATATAATTTTCTTTTCAGGTAGTTCAAGTGTTGGA